ATGATCCACTTCATATCATCACGTCATCATATTGGTTCATCGATTTTGACTTTACTTGCTTTTCACCGTTGCCTTCATCCATCGGCGCCAAGTCTTGCTCAAGCTTCACCGCCACACGGTCCATCGCTCCAAAGCCTCCGACTTGCCCTTCACGCTTGCAACCGGTCCATCAAGCCAAGTCATGTCTTGATCTTTTCCACCTTGATCACATGACTCCATGTCATGTCTCATGTGCAATAAGCTCCTTCATCATCACATGTGTGAGCTTTGTAACATCTTTGAGCCTTCATCACCGTCATGGCATATGTTGCTCACACACACGTACATGTGGACTAATCATATGTGTATCTCACATAAACACAATTAGTCCACCTAGGTTTTCACTCAATTACCAAAACCACATAAGGACCTTTTCATCAGTGTTAGAGTACGTGTCTCCGGTGGCTTGGGTGGACTCAAGAATACAAGAATCACAGAGAGGACGCAACGGTTTATCCTGGTTCGGGCCAATCGGTGCCCTACGTCCAGCAGCTGATGATCCTTGTACTCAAAAGCACCCAAAATCGGGGGGTTACAACAGGGTTGTAGAGAGATTTGGTAGGAGGTGAGCTCGGTGCTAATCCTAAGGTTGCCTCGCCGCCGGTGGAGTCTTTCCCTTATCGGAGAGGAGGAAGATGGCGGGATGCGGTGGAGGAGCTCTCGGTGCCCATCTCTGGGTTGCCTTGCTCTCGGTGCTGAGCAGAGGCCAAGGAATGGAATGGAGTGGAATGCTCTATCTTCTGATGATCCTCCCCCCTAGGTCTGACCTTATCCCTTATATAACGAGATAGGTCAGGTACATAGCGGTTTGGGGGAACCAGTCTACGGTCTACATGCGCCGGAGTCCAGGACGGCCTTGCAGTGACGCGATGTGGACTGTGGCGGTGTCGTGGAGCCAAAGAATCCTTGGCCGTCGTCCGGCTGTTCTATTTTGACACTCTACATGTCAGGCTGTGTTGGCTTGGACTGGCCTCCCCTAGGTGGACCTTCTAGAGTCTTCTTGGCGGTGAAGGAGGTCGACTTCAGGGGCTGACACGCGGGCTCGGGGGCCTCCGAGCCCCCAGAGGCCACGGGGAAGCTTTGTCTTCTTGTGTCACGCCCCATGCGTGACCTTGTCGGGAAAGTGGCCGGCAATGCCGTGCCCAAGGGGCAGCGCCGGGGAACCCCCGAGCCTCGGTAGCTCGGGACGTGTCTTCTTGTGCCTGGGCCTTGGCTGGCATCATTGGCGAGGCAGGAGCCAAGGGCCGGGCCAAAGTGTTGTCGTAGATCGGGAGCCTAAGGGCTCGGGCAAGCCCCCGAGCCCCAAGCGAAGGTCGTGGCAGAGTTAGGTTCGGCCGGGTTTCTTCTCAGATGGTGCGAGCGAGCGTACCCGATGGGTATAGCCCCCGAGCCCCCGGGCAATCCTAGAGGGGTCGGTCAGGGGGTCTTCATCGTTCGGGAACCATTGGACCCGAGGCTTAACATACCCATATGTTAGGATCTCATCACTGTGCAAAAGGGGCCCTCCCTTCACATACTTGGGTTTATGATTAGGATTAATTAGACCTAGGGATGAGGAATTCTTGCCATGGTGAACAAATGTGAGAGGTGACTAGCAAGCATTTCTGCATTCCTCTCACAAGCTGGTAAACTAGAGCTTACAAATGCAATCCTATATGCTCTTCCAACTTTATATATGAGTTCCCTATCATTGCCATATTCAATCGTTAATCAGATCGACAAATTTATATAGCATTGTCTTTGGGTAAAAGAAGGCACTATAAAAGCTTCATGGGAGATGGTGTGTATTCCAAAAGACGAAGGGGGCCTTGGAGTGATAAATATAAAGAAACACAATGAAGCACTGATGTTCAAAAACAAGGACAAATTCTTTAACAAAAAGAACATCCCCTGGGTCTCTCTAGTATGGGAGAAACAATATTCTAATGGTAAACTACCTAGTCACATAAACAAATGGTTCTTTCTGGTGGAGGAAAAATTTAAAACTAATTGACTCTTTCAAGTCACTATCTACTGCACAAGTTCAAAATGGTTAGAGTTGCCTCTTCTGGCAGGACAACTGGTTGGAAGAACCCTTAAAGGATGAATACCTAGAACTTTTCTCCTATGACAAATTAAAGGCCATCTCAGTGAGGAAACTTTATGCACAAGACCCATCACAAGGGACTTCAGCCTACCTCTGTTGGCAATACAAATATATCCTGAAATACTTTCCATTAACCAACTAGAATGACATCTAGAGTTAGAGTTGGGGAGGTAAATTTTCTGCTCCAAATGTTTATATTTCTTTAATTGGGCATAGACAAGTACATCAAGGTTTCAAATGGCTATGGACCTATTTCTATCAACCAAAGCATAACGTATTCTTTTGGCTGCTCATGAAAGATAGATTAAGCACTAGAAACATTCTGAGAAGGAAAAATATTCAACTAGAATCCTATAATTGTGTGTTATGTCAGTCTCAGTCAGAAGAAACGGTGCAACACTTGTTCTTGTCTTGTCCTTTTGCTAAAGAATGTTGGAGTGTATTGAACATTGACTTCCAGGTTGATTCAGCTTTTCCTAAAGCTTTACTACAAATAAGAGTTCAGTCACATTCCCATTTTTTCATGTTGGTGGCTATCTAAATGAGTTGGGCAATTTGGACAGCAAGAAATGACCTCATCTTCAACAACATTCAGCCATCAGTCAATAATGTCAAGGAGACTTTTACAAAAGAAATCAAGTTGTTGATCTTCGGAATAAAGTCTAGTATTTCAGATATCTTTGACCTATGGATTCAGAATCTGTTTAATTTGTATTTTATCTTTTATCTTCTTTTCTTCCTTTTTTTGTTTCTTGAACTATGGCTTGTAACTGTTGACTCTTCTTTTTAGTAATTTAATTTGTCTGTCGGGGCGCAAGCCCCTCCAATTGCATAAAAACTATATATAGAGTTTGGGGCTATGGATGCAGTGAGTCAAACAAGTAAACAAAGCTATTTGCATGAACCATTTTCAGATAAAAACTCCAAATACAAAATAAAGCTAGATAACCTCACTATTTTGTGCTTACCACCTTGCTAGTTTTAGAATATTATATGGATCTAGCCCACGTAGATAGCCTGTTCGCTTGGTCATATTTGGCTTATAAGTCATGGCTTATCAGCCAACGAACATTATTTTTCTCTCACACAAAACTAGCCAACAATGCTTTCAGCCATGGCTTATAAGCCAAACCAGCCCAAACGAACATGGCGATAACTTTTGCGGCTTCATAGTACGCATCACTGTTGGCACCAGAGATTCCAGAGTTAGCTTGGAAATTGGATATGTGTTGGAGGGTGACCAACATACTACAAAAGAGGTAAAATTGGAGTACTAGTTTGCTCTAGTAGGTGTGCATGCATGAGGAGCAAACAAGACACAGCATCAGACTCCGATCGAGGAGATCCTGTATGCTAATTGCTTGAACAACGACATTGAGTTTGTTGCAAGGAAATTGTCAAGATCGGTTGCGTTAGTTGGCCGACGTACGGCATGAACTGCAGCATACCACATCCACACAGATTGCAAATCGTTGTATAGGTCTTTCAGGCACAAAAACGTATAGTAACTGGATTGCCAATAACTCGCGAAGCTGTTTGTCTAGCTAGGACAGATGTTCTTCATCCATGTGTTGATGATCAAACTCCTACCAACACGTACACTTTTCCCATACATACTCCTGCCGTACCACATTCATGCACTGCTGCTTCAATTCATCGATGAGAAGAGATGATCGAGCTCGAGCTATGCAGTTCGTCCAGTACGTATGCATGTACTATGTGACGATATGGGTTCTGTTTGTTACAGCAGGAACAAGGCCAGCACCTACGCGAGAATGGCTTATACTTTCAGCCTTCAGGACTAGTAAGCGACAGCGCTCGTTTCTGCATTTTCAAGATCCTGAATGTAGTACGTAGCTGTCCTGCAGATTCAGTAAGAGCAAGTGAGCAACCAATCTTGCTCGATGGATCGACCCACGCGGCCACGCCTCGCTTACCAATAATATATGCATTGGGAATATATATGTTGTCAGCAATTATTTTAAGGTTGTTGATTGTATAGTACAGGAAGTGATTAGAGATCGATTAGTGCAAGAAATTTGGATGAACCAGGGGCCAAGCCACAAGTTCACAAACTACTGACTATATATATATAGTATATGCAGTGAAAGGGCAAAAGGGGTAATAACTGACACCTTAGTTCCTGGAACAACAATAACTACTACCACTACGTATTGACACGAGGGTTAATTACATGTATTATATGACATGATCAATCGTGTCTCAGTTGTATACTCTCTCTATTTTAAATTGTAAGTTGTTCTGTTTTTAGATACATATAGTCTTTACAATGTACTTATTTAGACATAACGTAATAAATGAAAAATTAAAATGACTTAAAATTTGGAAATGGAGGGGGTACTTATTACATAGCCTCTGAAATAGTTAAAGAGTATGTGGACTTATGGTTGGTTCTCCGTCACTATTGACATCATAGGTTTTACATCGTTCTTTCATCACATCCATCGCTACCATTAGTTATGCACTGCTAAAGTGCTAATTGCATACAACTACTTATAATACTGTATGATGATGATAAAGATAGGATCACATGCATATTACGACAAGCAGCAGAATCAACATATGATTCTTATCTCGAGCTCATGTACAACAGAGCTGCGCATATACTATATACTAACGTTGACGAGATATTCCAAACTCGTGAACTTCATGATCTGTAAACACGATGAACACAAGAATAAAATTTCATGCAGCACTGCACTGGCCACTGGGCAATATACAAACAAACACAGTTCGACTCGCTGGCAGCGATAGAAATCGATCATCGTTAACCTATTTCGTAACCATAACAAACCACTTTCTGACTTGAGATTCCTTGTCGCCACCACGCTGGGAGAGAGCGACCTTTAATTTTCTACGCCCAGCCGTCGTTCCGGCCGCCCCGGTTGCCGGAGCTGTTGCGGAAGCGCAGCAGCCACAGGGTGGGGCTGCTGCACGGCACGGCCTTGTGCTGTTTCGGGTGCGCGGCAACGGCGCCGATCTCGTCCTGGTGGAGGTCGTTGTGCTCGCCTGTCTCCGTGGCCACCGAGGAGAAGAGCCACCGGCTGGAGGACGACGCCACCTTGACCGGCGTCGCCGGGCGCTGCCGCCACCTCTTCCCGAGGCTGAGCCGCCGGAAGATCCCGGCGATGAAGCCTATCCTGATCCTCTTGAGCCTGCAGCGCCGCTTCCTGCCGCTCCTCGCCGCCCTACCGTCGCTCTTCTGGTCATGGCGTGCCGAGGCGACCACCTGCTGCTTGAGCAGGTACGACGGCGGCGGCGTGATGGCCGGGAGCGCGCCGGCGGCGCCCATCCGCGCGACGTCCTTGGGCGTGCCCGGCTGCGACTCCCAGACGAACGGCACCGCGCCCGGCTCCGCCCAGTAGTACCGGAACGACAGGTTGGCCGCGGAGCTCTCCTTGGTGAGGAGCCGCTCGTAGAACTTGCCATCCTGCTTGATGCGGAGCGGGCTCTGCGGCATGGGCATGGCGCCGTTGCCCCGGTGAGGGCTCCGCGGCGGCTGTGCCGGTGGCGCTGGCGGTGGCGCCTGGTCTGCGACGCCGGGACCGGGAGGCATCTCGACCGATCGCTCTCTCCAACTGATGTCACCACGCGCGGAACGGTCCAAGCGCTCGCTCGTGTGTCGTGTGTTCCGGTAGTGTACTTGCGTTGTAGGTGGAAAGGACGCGACGTCTTATAGAGCAGATCTTGCTCGGTGGTTGGACGTCACTTTTCGTACGCACGCACGCTTGCAGACGACGGAGCGCGAGCGCCACAGCCCACAGCGGGCACGCTGAGCTAGGCTGCACCACCGGACGACACGATCGATGGCTCGAAACAGGGGGATGGATATGCATGGCATTGGCATGGTCCAACTCCAACCGATTGGCGGGTACAGTACTATATATACCGAATGTAATGTTGAGAAGACCAGTTTATACAACAAATCTTCTCTATAATGACTGTAATGATGCTTCTTAGAAGTTAGAACTTATCTATGATCATGACTGAACAGTCCAACACTACAGTTAAGAGAAATATGTCTGTACGTAGTTTTGTCAGTAGTGCTTCCTCACCTGTAAAAAATGGCGCATCGTATAAACAAGAGAGAAGTGGCCAAGGAAATGGCTCGCACCTCGCAGCGCGGCAACCTTGGCAGAGACAGATAAAGCAGTTTACTGATGAGCAATTGTTGATTGTTGCTAAGAAGAAGTAGATGGATGATGCAACTGACGACACCGCATCCGGCCGTGAACTTCAGTTTAAGTCCACAAAAGAAGCCCCACATTTAGTTCGTAAAGCGATGGGCAAGCTACAGTTGTTAATTTTTGACGAGGCCGCATGTTGCGGAATCATATTGACCAACGTTGTGGTGTGTCGGTTAGTGAGTCCGGTTCATGGAGCTCTTGGAAGTTGAGTGCATCTCAATGTCTCTCCTCTCAAGGTGTACAAGTTGCTAGAGGCCTACAAGAAATCTTCGGATGCGTGTGTATCTGTGGGAATCCCCGTCAGGAACAGGAAGGAAGCTGACCCAATTTTTGGAACAGCAATGCCTCACCTTCCTGATGTCGGTTTTTATTATATTTGTTGCCTCATGGAACGGACCAGCATGTTCAAGAACGAATAGTGTAGTAATTGCTCATCATCATTACATGGCGAGTCGACGATATGGATGGCATCCATGGTGAGGTGTGCCAAGCTAGGGAGATGCTGGAATGCCCCCCGGGTGACAAGTTTGACGCATGATGAGTTGGTCCGTTTCAGCTTTCATTCATTCCCTGATGATTACCATTGACAGGTCAAAAGCATCTTCATTTCGCCAATGTTTCCTTCCAGCTTGCAGGGGTGGAGCGAGGAAGTTAATTTTTTTTGAATGTTTTGAATTTCAAAAAAATCAATGGAGATTTCACATTCATATGGGGGCTTGCGCCCCGTCTCCGTCCCTGCCAGCTTGGTCATACTATACTAGGAAGACAGGCGCGCTCCGCTGCGCCCGCATATATACATTTGTTTAATTAGATATCCTTAGGCACTAAGCTGCATAGTGTGAGCATATAAGGCAACAATGGACAACTTCAATTTGTATGTTGTGAACATATGTCTGGCAGTCCTTTCTCATATATGACACGTACAACTATGCACTTATGCTAACTCATATTAAAAGGAAAACATACTACAGATGGTTGCTCATACATGAGTAGTTCCATTTCAAGTAAAAAGTATCCATTACAGACTATCTCGATGCAGAAACTTGACTCTCCCGATACAGAAACCTGATGTCTTGTTTTTCTCGATCACGCAAAAGGTTTGCGCGTCTCTATATTAAGGTAGAGAAAATGTTTGATACAACACGCCATAGCGACGCCCTAGGAGGTTAGAAGAGTAGTACATGGACGCTCGGACCCTCCCTAGTGTAACCTGGTGTCTTGTTAAGAACCAATGAACTATTGATTAAAATCTGTAACAAATATGACACTTTTTGTCAGATATCCTGAATTGGGGGCATAAGAAACATTGTAACAAAGTGAATGCAAACCTTTCAAACATCCTGGAAAATTATTCCACAATCTAAAGACAGAGTTTATCCAAGTCCAAATGGAGACCTATGGGCTATGGTTATTGATTACCCTAGTAAACTGGTAACAATCCACAGACAACATAGGCAGTCGCTGGTAGCCTTAACCGTGATTTTGTGTAAGTCCAAGCATGGTTGTAAAGGCGATGATCAAGAGCATCTGGACTGATATTGTCCTGCATTATCAGTTTATGCATAACACATGTCATCATGCCGTAGCTATAATTTACAAATCAATCATTAGAAAATACGAAGAAGAAAGTTGTGGAACATAGTAAACCCATGAAATATTTGGAATGTAGCATACATGGATACTGTAAACCTTCTTTGGATCTGGGCCAAAAGCCAATAAACTGATGGCATCGGAATGACACGACTAGTGGTAATGAAACCCCTCTCGTTAGGGACCATAGTCCACCTTGATTCACACAGTTGTCAATTACTACATCAGTGAAACCAGTTTCAACTTTCAACTGTTCTCCCTTCTTGCTGTTTAAGAATGGCTATACGGTCTTAGACTCTTGCTAAACTATTTCGCAAAAAAAAGACTCTTGCTAAACTGAAACTGGCCTATTTGGACTATAATCAGAAACCTCCACTCTGCGTGCATTTATTCATTTTGTTTCTATCACACACGGCCTCACCCACAAATGCTTCTTCTGTTGTTATTCAGGAAAGTACATAGGGTAAACGGCATCAAGAGCAGCTACTACTCCATTAGAAGTAGTAGTATTTGAAATCACTTCACCGTAAAGAAAAATCACTCTTTTTCCATAATACGCTCCTGCCCAAACGGAGAGGCCTGAAAAGTCTGGTTGTATATAGAATTGCCTACCAAATCTGAGCTTCAGGCTACACCTCAATGGAGACGTCAATTACAATTTATTTTTGGAGGCTTAACTTGTTCCAGCATGTGAATAAAACCACCAGTTTTTTTCTAAAAAACACACCAGTTTACTCAATCATTCTTTGTTTTTAAAAGTTATGGAACAAGTTGCAGTCAGCCAGTCATGTGTACTGTAGTATATACTTACAAAAGAAACCTTCTATCTGCTTTACACAGGCAGACATTCCTGCAAGAATTTTGTTATGGGAGTTGTTTGTGGCTGTTTGCTGGTAGTAACAACATTGTTCAACTGACATACAAAAATATGACTGGCATACAAACATTTACTGTACGATAAATCAACGGTACCTTGTAGGTTAAACAGAATACAGACAATTGTTCCTAAGACGCGGGGAGGGCATTACTGGCGACCTTTGCGGCGAGCGGGACGGCCACCAGCATCTCCACGATGGGGAGGATGTTGCTCAGGAACACCACGCACGCCGCCGCGTTCTTGTCGCGCCGGGGGCTGCAGAGTGGCCCCGCCACCCGTCCCAGGCTGGACACGACGGCGGCGAGCAAGGTGAACACCAGCGCCTTCGTGTACATGTCGTACTCCGGAGTTCCAAGCAGCGCGGCGTAGGCCGCACCCAGCATGCCGAAGCCGAACGTGGCGACGACGGTAGTCGGCAACATCTCCATCTTGTGCTCAGCGACCTCATCTCGGCCCTGCTCTGCAGTGTCGTCAGTGAACAGGTTCACGGCATAATACATGGCAGCTATGGTGATCTCCGGGAAGAGCGCGAGCACGGTGTCGCCGCCGAGAAACTCCTTGGCAATAGTCACCGCGGTGACCGCGAGCAAGGCGATGACGGCGTCCTTTAGGTACCTCACGAGGGACAGCACCTTGTCCCTCGCGGCACTAGTCCTGTACCCAAGCGGCATGCAGGTGGCCACGACCAGGAACACGCTGAGGGCCGACGCCAGGAAGGACACGGAGAGGTCGAACCGGTGGCCCAGTGCCCGGAAGCTGGAGTTTTTGAGGTAGCCGAAGAGGAGCGTGGTCTGCACGGCGAAGGCCGTCGCGGTGGCGAACAGGGCAACCTTGCGGCCGCTCTTGATCCCCGCCTCGAACGCCTCGTCGCGCATGCTGTCCTCCGTCGGCGTCGCGTGGTACGCGAGAATGCCGATGAGGCCCTGTATGGGCAGCAGATTGAGAGACAACAAGCTGCTGCCTTCACTTATGAGGAGCAGCAGCAAGGAGTTCGTCGCGACCAGCGCCGCGCCGCTGATGATGCAGAGAAACTGGATGAACCGGATGTGCCCCTTATGCAGCTGCCTGTGTCCTGACAAGAACAATTTCAGGTAGACCAGCAGGAGCGCAGATAGGTATGCAATCACCAGGAAGCAACCGCCGGCCACCAGGACGTGCCGGTGCAACAGAGCATCTTTGCGCACCGAGAAAGCTGCTGTGACGAAGCCGGTCGCAGTGGCAATAGTGCCTTGAGCGAATGATGTGGTACGCTTCAATACCTTATTTGTTGCCTGCTTTGGCTCCTCCTCTGGATTATTCTTGGGAGGAGCATTCAACTCTGGGTCATCCATTGTACTCTGTACCTTCAAAAGAAAAGTCCATCGGGGAATAAAAAAGTCTGTCTCTGAAATTAAGCTAATTTCATAATAATGTCTATTAGAGGCCACAATACTTTGCAAGAAAGTTGAAAGCTTAATTTAAGGCCATGATCTCAACATGCCAGAATACATGTCAGTAGGTAAACAACTAGTAATCAATTCATACCACAAAGTAAACTGCTAATAAATGCGCTTAACTAACTATAGAAAATATACTCTGAAAATATATAATATGAACCATCCAGGTCGCTACCATAACACAAACAGCACACATTATAATTACAGCTGGCTAATTTCGTTCCCCTTCTGCAAAATCGTGTACATATCTGCGGTATACCTAACTAACAAAGGTTTGATCAAGATTTTTGCATACTCCCTTTTCTAAAAAAAATGAAGGAATTACTTCTCAACAGATCTATACATATGACTGGCATTCAGAAAACTTATGAATTGAGCTGTAAACATGCCAGTACTGAACAACCTGGCAAATAGATTCACATGTAAGCATTTAATAAAATGCCGATTCAAAAGACTAGGCTTGCGATAAGACCAGCTTTCTTAAGAAACAACTACAGTGAAACATGGAGATCCTTTTTATGACGACAAAAGAATGTAGGATAGCTGTAAGTTGGCTTCAAAACTTCAGGCCATGCTTACAAAGGCACCATAGTCAAACCTTTAAAACTTTGATTACAAATAATTTTTAATTATTTATTATAGAAACTTGAAGATCATATTCATAGGGAAAAGTAATTTCATAACAACCATAAATTTCTTCAGTTATATTTATATTCTAATAGAAATAGTGGTCAAAGCTATGATTTGGAGACTGTTCTTCTCCAAAACGTCGAATATTTGCAAACCGGAGGGACTACAAATCAGGTCAGCACACAAGGAAACTTTATTGGGCAAGTAACAAATTATCTCTCGGATACCAGTGCTGATTTCAATATCAACGTCTGTCAGACGCCCCATACATTGCAGGAAAGCTGAGTGCTAAACTTTAGGCCATGCTTTAAACACAAAGGAATAAAAATGTCAGAGGGGTAAACAACTAGGAATCAGTTTGTACTTAGTACCACTACCACAAGAAGCTGTATAGGAATTTGAACTACGCAAGTCACAATGAAAAGTGTAAGTTGGTGTTTCTTTTTTTGAAAGTAAAAAGCAGGAGCTCTGCCGCTCAATTAAGTAGTGAAAAAAGGTTTATGTACACATGACACCTAAGGTGCCAAAACACCGTGGTCCGAAGACCATAGAGGAGAAAAACACGCCTTGCACTGCTAGTTTGGCCCCCCACCAAAATTCATTGCCCTAAGCCATTGCACACTGTCTTCTTTGATCTAAGTTGGTGTACAATGTGTACTTAGAGCAACTCTTTAAGATCTTGTGCAAAAACGTATGCTCACAGTAAGCAATTGGAATTTGTAACTAACAGTGTTCTTATTCGGATAATTCATTTTCCTCTTGCAAAATCGTGCGCTTGCAGTAAGCAATTGGAATTTATAACTAGCGAAAAGCATACCGAGATGCTGCCTACTACCCTTCAACATATTTCTAACCGAGGTTGAGGCGTAAAAAGAAAGTAGCAAAGAACCTTGCAAATGCTAACTACATAAGACTAAGCTTGGCAGTAAGCTCAGTTTCCATCAAGAATCAGCTATTGTGAAACATGAAAGATTCTTTTTATGACTACACTTTTTTAGATAATGAAAAATAATCTGGCTTCAGACTTCTTCAAAGAAGGAGCATAAGCATACACACACTAAGTTAAAATTTATTATAGGCACCCAACTATAGTTTAATACAAAAAATAAAAGGCCAGCCATTGGACGCAAAGAAAATCATAGCTCTTGATTCCATAAATAAGCAGCTGTAAGTTGGCTGCTAAACTTCATTCCATGCTTTCAATACACCAAAACACATATCAGAGTTGTAATCAAGTAGAAATAGGTCATAGCACAAGACAACGTTAATTGACGAGCTTAACTATGAAGATCCTCTTACTGTTCAGTACAGGAACATCTAAGACAAATATTACATCAAATAGTTCATTGGTTGTCAAATTTGTCTCCATAAAAACATAAGCTCTGTAAATATGATCATCGTACATATTTTTTCCTGGATTGAGGTTTAAAAAAGCTATCAGATAAACTGACATAGGAATTGCTAAACATAGAACTAGACAGGACAACAAGTTCAGTTTGCGTCAGAAAGCAACTATCTTGATAACATGGAAATCCTTGTCGTGAACAACATGGATTTGGCTACAGATCTAACTGCGAACTAAATCATGCGTAACACGGATTACGCTACAGATCTCTCTTGAAGGGGCCCAAAAAAGGGTAGAACAGAAACCTGATAAAAACGCACTTAAAAGGAAGATGGGCATGGAAAAGGTTCAAAAAAAAATGAAGCAAGCAACAAGGATTTGCATGTGCACCTGTGAAGGAAAGGAGTCTGCTGCCATGGAGGGACGTCCGTCCCCGAGTAGCCTCCCAGCAGTGGTGGTCTTGAGTCTTGACAGTAGGAAAGAGGGGAGGGGATCAGGGGAGGCAACAGGCAGAGGCAGGAAATACTTCTGTTCCTAGTGCGTCAACGCATGGCTTGCTGGGAAATTTCTTGCCACACAATAAATTATTGGTTTCTCCAAGAGTAGTATAAATTAGCTATCGCTGTTTGTCAAACTGTGCTCTTTGTTCTTTTCTTATCTCTGTATCTCATCCTAGATTGATGCAATAAACTTTTAGCAAACTTTAGGAGCGAATACACGGGAGAATGTAAGGACCTGTTCGTGTTCGACAGGACTGAAAAATACTGTTCCAGCTGATTGTTGTGAGAGAAAAATACTATTGTGGTAGAACGTAAACAGTGATTTTCTAAGGTGGCTGAGTCAGCCAACTTAGGAAATCACTGTTCACGTCCTTAGTTGTTAGCAATGGATTGTGAACGGTTCCAAGTGAGGCCTCAGTAATATGCCTTGTCAGTGTGTAGCTACTACTCATGTTGTGTAAACGTTTCGGTTTACTCATTGCCAGCCATCATTATCGCAGCATTGATATCATGAGGCCAGTCTCAGTAGGAATTTCATGACGATGTTTTCAAAATTGCCATGTCATATAAAATAAAATAAAACTTGGATGAAACATCCACTCTCAATAAAGAGTTTCATTATATGATTTTAAAGACATTTAATTTTATAACTCATATAGAGTTAGTAATCGTGTCAAGAGAGTTCTATATAGATGAAACTCATTTCTTCTCTCTCTTCTTAAATACACTGTTATATCATCAACAATGCCTATGTAGCAACCTATTTAATAAAAATGAAACTCATATGAAACTTTCACTGATACTGGCATAAGACTGTTTCCAGTTGGATACTCACACCGTGCGGACACAATATTCCTCGGTTCGTCGCTTGATTTGTGATTGAACAGTGATTGGAGCCGCAAAGCATCTCCATACCATATGGGGCCACACGATAGAGACAAAAACGAGGCGGCCTGACTTTTTTTTTTTTGAAAATAATACGTGCTTGTCGATGTGCCTTTCGGTCTGTAGGGACGATTTGCATTGCATGGCGACGATATTCCATGCTACTTCAGTTGCCAAATACGAGCTTCCAACTTCCAAGAGCCTATTAGAGTCAGTAACTTCGCAGCAAAGGTTACTCCAAAAAAAAAACCTTCACAAAAAAATGTCCTTCGTGGATCAAGTAGCTATCATGGACGTTGGCCCCTGGCTACCTCAAGAATCTTCCTCAACCGAAAGAGATCGCGTCGGCTGTTGCTTCCGTACAACGAATTGGTAAGCAAGGGAAAGGATCTCAGTCTCAGCCAAAGGTTTTTTAGCAGGTCAGCCAAAAGTCTTCGCTTGCCCAATTCTGGAGCAGAATTCCTGACCAAATCTGTGCCACAGCCTACACCCTGCAGGGGACAGAGATTATGGGCCTGCTTGGTTGCAGGCCAATCTTTGTCAAACTAAAATAAGGGTAAGTTTAAAAGAATTGGCACTCAATTGGTGTGGTACCAACATTTTGGCAATGCCCTCCAAATATTTAGCAACACAACATTGTTTCTCTCTTGTTGGTAGCAAACCAAACCTTCATTCTCTTACCAAAATATTGGTTTGCCCTAATATTGGTGTATCCATATTTTGGCTTGCTCTAAAATTGGCTTGGCAAAATTTGGCTTCCAACCAAGCAGGTCCTATCTGCCAGGTGCGGACGTGCGGTGGTTCTTGCTAATTGTGTGTTGTTTGTCTGCATTGATGAATTCGTCAAGATAAATTATCGAGATTGAGTTGCTATAGTCATGCAACGGCAAACTGTAAGGCTGTGTTTGGAGGGGCTCTGACCGGCGCCGGCTCCTTCACTGTAGCTGCACTATGATGGAGCCAACCGGAGCACCCAAAACCTAGCTCCTCGGGCTCATGTCTGGTGGCAGGCGGAGCAGGAGCCTTTTGAGGGCAGCGCACAGTGACGCGCGCAGCAGAGCCGGAGCCGCTGAGAGCGCCACCAAACATAGCCTAAGTCTTGCAGTAACCATTAATAGTTTAGCATAGCACTTAACTTGACCTGCATATAGTTCTGACTCTCGGTCGCCGAAGCACCAGCTCCGTCATGCTCGGTGCGGTGCCTTCTCTCTCACGCACATTTCCGCTCGTTCCCTCGGACTTCCGCAAATTTTTAGGTCCAAGTGGATATTTTAATTCCTGTGAAATAGACCAATCTCCAAATCTTTCCTCTATTTGCCTTTCCTTTGTTCTAAACGGGCTTGTCTGGAACCTTTTTCTAGGGAGGCCGATATGCCATGACCGGTCATGCGCTCATGCTGTCTTCCTCCTCGTGTTGCCCTGCATGCCCCCTCCCCCCCCCTCCTCCCCCGCCACCACCGACCAGTAGCTGCCTCGCCGCCGGCCGCGTCGCCCACCTCCCACCTCCACCCTCCACTAACCACGGGGAAGCGCACCAGCGACGTCCACGTCCTCGTCCTCACCCCTGCCCCCACCATCGGCGGCCAGAGGAGGGAGCCGCCCCGCCCCTCGACCCCACCCCCTAATCCCAAGGCATGGCGCCGGAGAGCTCCGCCGCAACGCCCCCACTGCCAGCCCCGCCCAACCACCTTCCTCCGCTGCCATCTTGCCCGCCTCCACCACCGTGTCGTGGATGTAGCCCCCCAAAACCCCCCTTCTCAGGCCGTCAGAGATTCATTCCATAACCCGGCGGAACCCTAACCCTAACACCACTGTCGTCTTCTTCCTTTCCTCTCCGGTGGGGCGTGGGCGAGGGCACGTGGGCATGATCATGTGGGAGAACGAGAGGGAGAGGGAGAGGGTGGGCCAGCCCACATCGCGCCGTCCACGCTCCACGCGATGATCACGTGTTTGCGTTTCCCTTTTCCGGAGGAATCCGTCTCCTTTGAAATTCCTATGAATTCCTTTGAACCAAAAGCTGAGCCTTAAGAACTCAGTAACCACAGACCATAAAGAAATTTTCGGCCAAATACAGCTCTAGAAAAAAGCAATATTAGGAAGCCTTACAAACAGGTAGAGGGGGAAAATAGAAAGAATGCGGTTCAAGTAATAAGCCAATGGTACTCATGAAAAAAAAAGTGAATTCTTAAAGTTGTCGTAAGTCATTATTTTTTAAAATTTGATTGAATTCATAGAAAAAGAACATAAATATTTGTGGCGCCAAATGCATTAATAAATAAGGACTTATTTCCTCCGTTCCAAATTATAAGTCATTTAGCTTTTCTAGGTACATATGTCTAGATACATGGCAATCAATATACCTAGAAAAAGCAAAACGACTTATAATTTGGAATTGGCAAAGTATTAGATAAGGGTATCGGGACTGAGTGCCAAATGCAGTAATGAAAAAAGTTACTGCTGGCACTCTACAGCATGTACTCTACCACAGGAAGAATTGCGCCAGTTCCCACCAAACAGCCAAAGACTAACGATTGACGTAATGGTCGACGAAGACCTTGAGCACCAATGGAATGGCACCCAGAAGCGCCAGCAGGGGAAAAGCGAGAGCGACACCAGCAACGCCGATCTCGACGATCTCGATGACTCCTCCCACTCCAGCCTTAGGCATGTGAAGTGGGATCGCCAGACGGCTCAAGCTTGACAGAACCATGAAAGCCATAGTGATCTGTCCCCATGAAAGCCGTATAGAGTCCAGTCATTAGAGTGAACCCCGCGGCGGCAACGATCCGGAAGGTGAAATCCAGCGGTGAGCTCTCCTCTCGGGGTTGACACGCCGAGAACAGCTTCACCACGTAGTACAGGACAATCGCGACGGCGTCCGGGAAGAAGGAGAGCACGACGAAGCCGTCCAGGAACTCCACCGAGACGACCAGCGCCATCATCGCCAGAGCGGCCAGCACAGCACTCCTGAGCCTCTCGACGACTCTGACGAGAACCTTCAGCACCGGGCCAGATGGATACACGGCGCGTTCTACAAGAGCGCGTGGCCCATCATTCATGAGGACCTCGTGGCAGTGATCCAGGCTTTCTCTTCCGGGGATCACAGAGGTCTGGAGAGGCTAAATAACGCAATCATCGTCCTCCTACCGAAGAAGGCGGGAGCATCCAGCCCGGCTGACTTCAGGCCGATTACAATGATACACAGCTTCGTAAAATTGGTCTCCAAGATCCTGGCGCTGAGGCTTGCACCAAGGCTAGATGAGTTGATTGACAAAAACCAAAATGCCTTCATCCATGACAGGACTATTCAAGATAACTTCAAATACATCCAGCGCGCTTCCGTGCTCATTCGGAAGAAGGTCCCAATGCTCCTCCTGAAACTCGACATCTCAAAGGCATTTGATACTCTCTCCTGGCCTTTCTTGTTGGAACTCTTGCAAGCAAGGGGCTTCGGCCGGAACTGGTGCAGATGGATCGCCGGTCTGCTATCCACGGGGTCATCCAGGATAAGCCTCAACCGTCACCTTGGGCCACCGATCAAGAATCTCAGAGGAGTGCACCAAGGTGACTCATTATCTCCGATGCTTTTCATCATCGCCATGGACGTGCTTCATAAGATGTTTGCAGCTGCAACGGATCAGTACCGATGCAGCCTCTACGCCGATGATGTGATCCTTTTCATAAGGCCATCAGCGCAAGAAGCAAGGGCCGTAAAGGAGATACTCCGAGTGTTCGGGGAAGCCTCAGGTCTCATGACCAACCTGTCCAAGTGCTCTATCACACATATCTTCGGTGGCGAGGAGGCGCGCGAGGAGATCATCACCATCCTCGGTTGCCAAGTCAAAGAATTCCCAATCCGTTACTTGGGGCTTCCACTAAGCACCAAGAAGGCCACCAAGGCGGAAGTCCATTCAATCGTTGAGGCAGTAGCAAGGAAGCTCCCACCCTGTCATGGATGTTAAGAATATCCAATTGGATCACATGACCGCAATATCTGGTTGATTGATATGTCTGGTTGATTGATATCTCCTGAGGATTGGTTATGTGCTCAGGCTTGGATTACGGGTAAAGGCAAGTATCACGGTTTCAGTTAGATATAATAGGTATCTCCTGATTGATGTAATCTAGAGTTATTAAAGTAGTTAGCTTCTTCTTGTTGTACAAGTTATACTGCCACGCCAGGGGCTCTTCCTGGCTATATTAACACGAAGTCGTGAGCCTGAGAGGGCATCACGTTCCAACCATTTTCACATGGTAATCAGAGCTAGGTTAGTCCACAATATTCTCGATGGCTTCCTCTTCCGTGCTTCAACAATCGTTCTCTCTGATCGGTTGTCCCATCACCGAAAAGCTGGGCAAAGGAAATTTTCCCCTATGGAGCGCCTAGATGTTGTCTGCTCTTCGCGGTGCGCAGATAGCGCACTATCTCGAACCTGACATTGTGGTGCCGGCGAAGCAGATCCCCAAGGCGGCTGACAAGCCGACTCAGCTCATTCCCATCCCTGAGTATGAAACTTGGGTTGCGAAGGACCAGCAGATCGTTAACTATCTGCTCTCCAATATCTCCAAGGAGATCCAGGTGCAAGTCTCCAATTGCGCCACATTAGCCAAGATCTAGAAAGTGGTCTCAGAGATGACGACTTCCCAATCTCGGGGCCGTGTCATCAACACGCGCATGGCGTTGGCCACGGCACAGAAGGGCTCGTCAACAATTGCCGACTACTTCAACAAGATGAAATCTCTTGCTGACGACATGGCGGCCACCGGCAAACGTCTTGAAGATGAAGATATCATCTCCTATGTACTAGCCGGACTTGACATGGATTTTAATCCGATTGTCTCGGTTGTCGCGACGCGCACGGAGCCGCTATCTTTGGGCGAGCTCTACACCTAGCTAGTGAGCTGGGAACAGCGGATGGATCTCCTGCACGATGGATCCGGTTCATCTGCTAACACGGCTACACGTGGAGACCGTGGCGCTTTCAACCGCGGCGGTGGTGGCCGAGGACGCGGGCGTCCCCGGCAGAACTACAACGGCGATAAACCCATCTGTCAGCTCTATGGCAAGGAGGGCCACACCGGACTCCGCTGCTTCAAGCGTTTTGACGCTTCCTTCACCGGCCCACCAGAGCAATCTCGATCTACCTCCTCTGCATCATATGGGATCGATACCAACTGGTACACCGACACTGGTGCTACCGACCACATCACGGGAGAGCTGGAGAAGCTCACCGTGAGAGACAAGTACCATGGAAACGACAAGGTTCATGCTGCTAATGGCGCATGTATGAGAATCAATCAAATTGGTCGAAGTTTTGTTCGTACCCCAAATCAAAATCTCATCCTAAACAATGTTCTTTATGTTCCTGAAGCTAACAAAAGTCTTGCATCTGTTCATCGTCTTACATCCGATAACCATGCTTTTATTAAATATCATCCCAACTATGTTTTGATTAAGGACCAGGCGACGAAGAAAACTATCCTTAGAGGGAAATGTGAAGGCGGCCTCTACCCGTTGAGGTCTAGGCCGTCATCGAATAAAGGGGCGTTTGGTGCTGTCAAGTTTCCTTCGTCCAGGTGGCATAGTCATCTCGGCCACCCTTCTTTTGCAGTCGTTCAGCAAGTCCTTAGCAAAAATAGTATTCCCTTTGTTGCCGATTTGAATAAAGAAACTGTTTGCTATGCTTGCCAAAAGAGCAAAAGTCATCAACTACCATATCCTAGATCCACGAGGATCTCATTGAGTCCCTTAGAACTTGTGTTTTCTTATGTATGGGGTCTTACGCCCACTTGTGTTGACAAAAACAGTTATTACGTTAGCTTCATTGATGATTTCAGCAAGTTTACATGGATTTATTTGCTTCGTCATAAATCTAAAGTTTTTCAAACATTTCATGAATTCCAAGCTATGGTTGAACGTCAATTTGATAGAAAAATTCTCGCTATGCAAACTGACTGGGGAGGGGAATATCAAAAGCTGAATGCCTTCTTTCAGTGCATTGGCATCTCGCATCATGTCTCATGCCCTTATGCACATCAACAAAATGGCTCCGCTGAACGTAAACATCGCCATATTGTTGAAGTAGGTCTCTCGCTTTTAGCCCATGCTTCTATGCCCTTAAATTTTTGGGATGAAGCTTTCATCACTGCCACCTATCTTATTAATTGCCTCCCTAGTAAAATTATCAATAACCAAACTCCTCTTGAACGCCTGTTTCAGCAAACACCAGACTACTCCTCTCTTCGTACTTTTGGTTGCGCATGCTGGCCAAATCTACGGCCTTATAACGCTCACAAGTTGCAATTCCGCTCCAAACGTTGTGGCTTCCTAGGCTACAGTAACATACACAAGGGGTTCAAGTGTCTGGATGTCAATGAAGGGCGTGTCTATATTTCCTGAGACGTGGTCTTCGATGAACACGTCTTCCCCTTCGCCGAACTCCACCCAAACGCCGGTGCTCAATTATGATCTAAAATTCTCCTCCTTCCTTTAACTTTGATAAATCCTTCACATAATTTTGGGGACGACAATTCTTCAGATCATTTTGATAATGATTCCCTGCATAGTGACCCTATGTCTAAGCGTGCAGCACATGAAAAAAATTCGGCGTCAAACGAACTACATCTGGCTAGAAACGGGCATCATTTCATGCTCCCCGAGCAATTTCCCGTTTTGGCAGAAATAGGCGGCGATCCCCAAGCTGATTCACCTGCACCTTCCATTGCGGAGCCGACAGGATCGGTCTTGGATCCGGTGGTGTCAGCTCCTACGCTCGTGACGAACACGTCAGCTCCACCAGCATCCTCTCCGCGTGCGCCACCTGTCTTGAACTCGCCTCGCCTGGCTCCGCGGACGGGGGGACAGGATATTTCGACCGGTGGTGGAGAATCTCCCTAGGGTCCGCCGCGCGTCGGATCTTCTGCGCCAGCCACAGATCAACCCACCGGATCTTCTACATCGCCTGCAGCACCGGCTCTCCATCGACCCACCACACGTCTACAACAAGGTATACGCAAACAAAAAATTTACACTGATGAAACTATTTGATATGGTCAGTTAGCAGCCACCACTGAAGGTCCTATTGATTTACAACATGCCTTAGTCGATAATAATTGGAAGCGTGCTATGGATGTTGAATTTGATGCATTGATAAGGAATAAAACTTGGCATCTAGCTCCACCTCAAAAAGGTAAAAATGTGATTGATTGCAAGTGGGTCTATAAAATCAAAAGAAGAATAGATGAGAAAATTGACAGATATAAGGCACGCCTAGTAGCAAAGGGGTTCAAACAACGATATGACATTGATTATGAGGATACTTTTAGTCCTGTTGTGAAAGCAGCCACAATTCGTCTTGTGCTCTCTCTAGCTATGTCTAAGGATTGGTGTTTGAGGCAACTCGATGTTCAGAACGCTTTCTTGCATGGTTTCCTTGAAGAAAAGGTATACATGAAACAACCACCAGGTTATGAAGATAAGACCAAACCACGTCACTTATGCAAACTTGACAGATCCCTGTATGGTTTAAAACAAGCACCACGGGCCGGGTATTCTAGGTTATGTGGTAAACTTCAGAGTCTAGGCTTTGTTCCCTCCAAAGCTGACACATCATTATTCTTTTATCGGAAAGGAAATCATGCCATCTTTATGCTTGTATATGTTGATGATATAATTGTGGCTAGTTCATCACAGGAAGCAGTGGATGCTCTTCTCCAAGATTTAGAGAAGGACTTTGCAATCAAAGATCTCGGGAACCTTCACTATTTTCTTAGCATACAGGTTCAAAGAAAGAAAGGTGAATTGCTTTTGACACAGAAACGGTATGCTTCTGATATCCTCATGAGAGTTAATATGCAGCTGTGTAAACCCATCAAAACACCCCTTAATACTACCGAAAAGCTTTCAGTCACTAGTGGCACTCGGTTAGGAGTGGAGGAC